TCTTTCGCCCCCCTTCCCGCCCAAGCGTTGCCTGGCCCCCGCCCCGCCCCGCCCCTCCCCAGCGTGCGGCACCGCCTCCAGCCGCTGTCCCTGTGTATGGGCACCCCTCCTCCCCCAAGCCCCGCCTCCAAATGCCCCTGCCGGCTGGAGCCCGCAACTCCTATCGGAGCTCCTACCCTCTCCGCTCCTAGCGGGCATCAGCCAGGGTGAACGCCGGGGCCTGGCACCCCTTCCCTTCCGCGCGCGCTCACACACACACTCCAGCCTGACACACTACACACCCCAGCACACACACACAAACCGACACTCCAGCTAGTGTGGACACCGGGGCCTGGCACAGCCATACACACACTCCAGCCGGACACCCCCCTACACACACACACACTCCAGCTGGTGTGGGCGCCAGGGCCTGGCACAGGCACACGCCTGACCCGCACCCAGACCCACTCCCACTAAGAGCCCCGCAGAGGAGCCCATGAAGAGGCGGGCGCGCGGCGGGGGAGCATCCCGCGGGTCCTGCTCGGGACAGGATCAGGCCCCCAGGGAGCCGCGTGGGAGCGGGGAGCGGGCGCTGCCCCTCCGGGAGCCGCTCCCCGGCGCCGCTGCCTGGAAGCAGAGCCTGAAACTTTCATCCCAGGGAGGAAAGTTCCTCTACAGAAAGCAAAGGAAAAGTTGTGGTGTCGTGAGCCGGGAGAGCCCCTCCTCCCCCTCTGCTGACTGCAAAGAAAAGCTCTTCTGTTTGTATAACCCCCCCTCCCCCCAATTAAAAAAGCAGCACATCATGGTTAACTAAAACTGTGCCCGGGATAACCCTGATTTCCATATGCAGATTTATCTGCACTGACAACCCCCTCTCCCTCTCCCTCTCCCTCTCCCTCGGTCTCTGTGTTTCCCTCGGTCTTGCTCTTTCTCTCTATTTGCATTGAGTCTGCCTGATTTTTCTGGCTCCTCTTTTTCTTGCTTTCTCTCTCTCTCCCTCTTGCACGCACAGGCTGAAATAACTAGACGAAGCCGCGAGACGGTTGCTGCAGTCACTGTCTTTTAGGAGAGGTTGTGGGGGGGTGGGATCCAGGAAACCTCATTGCTAAACCGCCTCATCCTTTCCAGCCCGGCTCGGGGATCCAACTTCCCCAGGTTGGGTGAAAGGGACAGACGTGGGAGGGGAGAGCACTTTGCAACAGCTGCAGCCAGCGGTGTTCATCGCCAGATGTGCGGGGGGTGGGCATGAAAAGACAGCACGGGAAAAATATTAGGAGACAAAAGCGGCAGCCTCAAGGATCGTTTGCTTTATTTAATATGGCAGCTGGCGCCGGGTGTGGGGGAAGATCAACCTGCTGCCTGCTGAGCCGGACTCCTCACCCGGCGAGGATGGAAGGAGGTGATCCCGTGCCAGAGGGACCTGAGGTAAGAAACCTGCTTCTCTTTCCTGGGTTTTAGAAAGTCTATTTCTAAAGTGCTCTTTTGAAACAGCTTGTCTGCTCAGTTTCAACCCACTGATGGGCAAAACGGAGATTTATCTATTTTTAAAAGAAGAAAAGTTAAAGCGCAAGGTATTGGTAGTCGATTCAAAATGATTACTTTGGCCATTATATCCATCCTATTTTTCCCATACCTTTTTTGTTTCAAAAATGGACTTTAATAGTAACATCATGGGTGACCGCTGATGCTAAAACTGATTATCAAAAGTCTTAAAACCAACCTCCCCCAACTTTGCAGTAAAAAAATGAACTACAGCTTCATGTTGTGCATTTTTCTATTGCATCTTAAATATTAGAACTCTTATTAAAATGATATTGGGGGTTTATATTTAGCATGGAAGCAGTGAATGCTGCATAATTAAGTACAGTATTTAATTTGGCTGTTGTGAAGCAAAAGAATAAGGTAATAATTTTTATTGTACTAATCAGACTCAAGATGTTCTCTGTGTTAATTGGGTTAAAAAATTGCAGTACTTATTAGAAATTCTAATTTCACAATGCAGCACTGACAATAAGCTCAGCCAGTGAATTATTCACATCTTTAATTTGCTCACTTAATGACAGTGTTCTGTAATCAGAGTGCAGAGACTGCTTCCTATGCATTATGTATGATGTTCAGGACTTAAATGCAGGACATTATGAAGCCTCTCAGTAGCTTAGTAATTAGTTTTCCACAAGACAGGACTTAGATATTCACAGATAAAAGTCTAGAGTTGAGATAATGTTAAGGTTGAGACTCAGACTGAAAAAAAAAGCAAGGAAGTTCAAAAATAACACTGCAACTATGTTCTCATCCATTGTGCCTAGGTGTCAAGGGGGTGTTTCAAAGTTAGCACGTGATGGTACTACAATATGTGCTGTGATACTTACCTACCCAAGAGCAACTGTTTGAATTAACTTGTTTCTTTTAACAGCTTTTGGTTGTTTGTGGCTGACAGTCCCACCACCCCTTTAGTTCAGTATAATGTTATTTTAAATACACAACAAAACTTGTTTTTATTTAGTGAAAGGAGGCAGGTATGAACACATTAGACAGCAACCACTTGTAGGAAAATTATAATAATTATTAATTATATGTTTAAGAATTTCTGTTTAATAGTTGATATTGAGCCCGGAAGTTTATAATTTCTATCAAGCTATTCTGGTTTCTAAATTGTAACTAGTTTGCTGTGTATGCTCACTTTGGGAACACTTACTACTTACCACACAGCTGTTAGGACTTTTTTAGTCTACAGTGAATAGGATACACATACGTTGAAATGTATGCTGATTTTGAAAATTGTACTTTTTTTCACTTTTAAAATATAACAATTTTAGAAATGCTGTTGTGGCTCAAAATACAAATTCTTATTTTCTTGTTAGCACTGACCTGGTATTGTAGTGTTTTAACTGAAGGGAGCATACGTGATTTTGTCATATCCCACTTTTCTCGACTACTGCAAAATAGAATGAGGAAAGTTGAGAAAAGTTAAAGAATACTTTTTTCATATTTCAGCACTGGTTAGATGGGCTACTGTACATTTGTACAGTAGTGCAATGCAATGTCAGGTGTACTCTGCCATGTCCCTACATATAACAATGTGGGCCTTTCTCCCCAAATGGTACTTGTGCAGATTTTCATTAAAACACAACTGGGCAAGTTTCTTATCCCTACATCAGTATCCCACTTGAAGTTGAGAATTTTACTTTCAAAGCTATTTAATTTGTATCCCTAAATAGATAACTTTATGTATTCCATAAAGATATCTATATGGATTAGGCTTTGCAGGATTCATCCCTTAATTTAAAAAAATTAGCTGCCATGTCAAGTCTAAGCATTTTTAAAAATCAGAAATAGAGTCAGGCCTAAGAACTACATCTAGAATATTAAAATACAATATGGACATGTTAGTTTCTCTTTTAATTCCCCAAATTCAGTGTCATCAACAGCTAAAAAGTTTACTGAGTTATTTTAGGACCTGATCCTGGAATAAATTGACCTAAGCCAATTGCTTATAGTTGCCTCTAGTCTTAGATGAGGGCTGTCTAAGTGACCTGTGATTGGTTAAGTCATGCTTAATGGGGCTGGAACTTCTGCAGTGTGGGAAGCAATGGTGGTGTTAACCCCTATACCTGCCAGAACCACTGGGTTGGCAAGCCGAGCAGTCAAGGTGTTAATGCTGCTGCCATTTGCCCCACCACAGAATTTCCTGGTTAAGATCTGGGGTGGGGAAGCCTTTCAATGGTGGTAGGGCACAATAGCTTAACTAGAAGTGGGCAAGAGGGGCACCTGCCCTGGATGCCAAGTTAGGAGGGGTGCCTGAATCACCCCCCACCTCTATGGAGTCCATGCCCTAGCAGTATATCCATGCCAGGCACTCCAAAATGGTCCCCAGCTGCTGCTGCTTTGCAAGCAACAGCCAGGGTGGGCAGAGCACTCTGCAACTCAGTTAGGGACTGTTTAGGGGTTCCCAGAATGAGTAAGACTGCTGTCCCCCATCTCAGAACCACTTCCCCCTCCCCTAGTCTCAGAACCCAGGTGTCCCCCAAACGCTGTTTGAACCATATACCCTGCAAACTCTTGCAACTGTACATCTGTGGAACTCTCAGAACCCATGTGGTCCACCCCCCAACTTCCCCTGCCATTAGAGCTGTACACCTCCCCCTCAACTCTCAGATCTGTGTATTCTGCCTGTCCCCCCTCCCAGAACCATGTGTTCCCCTACCCCAGTCTCGAAATCCGCATCCTTCTTGCTCTTAGAACCCTTGCACACACCTCCTCATCTCTCCTTCAGGGTTTTCACTAGACATCAGCTGTGCTTGTTATACCACTGGCACTGGCAAGTGGCACCATCATTAACCCCATGGGTTCTGGTTGCCCTGCCACCAAATTTCCAGGTCAAGGTTGCGGATGGGTATGCCTTTTGGTGACCAAGCAAGTGGTGGGACACAGTCAGAATGTGAGGGTTAATGATGGTATTGCTGGCTCCACTGCCAGAGATGGGGTTATCAGAAGTGAAGTGGTCCAGATCTGGCCTGCCAACCCAAATGATAGCTCTGATCTCAGACCAAATCCTGAAGAATGAAGCTCCAGATTGATTCATAGGTATTATAACTCACATATTTACATCAGAATGTAAAGACTTGTACACTTGGGGAAATCATCCAGACGTGCTGTCTAGGATAGCTTGGCCACACAGAAAGGTATACTAGCAAAGCTGACAGCATTCTTATATAATTGCATCTTAAGTAGTGACCTGGCCACAAGTTCATTCAATTAATTGTGTGATAAAAGCAGGAATAAGCAACAAAGTTATCACACAAAATACATCTAATAATATTGGTGTTGGTTTCTGTCACATCTTTAATTGAACATGTGGCCAGTGCTCCCAGCCTGTAGTGAACTCTGAAGACTGGGAGAATGTGTCAGCTGATGTGAGGGCGGGGGGAATCAGGGTGAGCCAATCAGGGGATGGAGCTCCCAGCTGCTGGAAGCCCCCTCAGTCTTTGGAGTTCCTAGCTGTGGGGATACGCCATACACTCCCAGCTACAGAAGCAGAGATTGCTAGTGCAGGCGGAGCCCAGGATTATCCCTGGGCCCTGCCTGCTCTGGCAATATGACATGATGGGATCTGATGCTTGACCCCACAATTACATTTCTTGTGCTGCACATGTGACATGGCAGGAGCTGTGATTGTTGGGATCACACATCAGATTCCATTGTGCCGCCTTTTTCATGTCTGCCAATGGCCTAAGATATATATGTAGAGCACAAGCTTTCATGAGCTGAAGCTTACTTCATCAGATGCTGTTTATCTGCCACCTTAGGAGAGTGTGTGTGTGTGTGTGTGTGTGTGTGTGTGTGTGTGT